AAGGTAGAGATAAGGCCATGGCGTTTAGCTGATATCAACTTTATGTTATATAGAGACTTAGTGCTCGATCATCATCGCACCGTGTTCATCGGGGCAATGCCTCGGCCAACTACTGCGGGTCAGTTTTTTTTTAAACTGCTATATGGCCTTAAATGTTATCTGTAATCATTTATAGTTATTGTTCATTTAACAAATCATTTACATATTTCTTTGGATTTTCGTTCGTTTAACTGTCTGTTAAATTGGTAACATTTTCAATTCTTCCTTCATTGTTTCCTTGTTTAATCAGTACCATACCACATAGGTGAACTGGCGGATTTGATGAGCCAATTATTTGGACCAGTCAGCTATGTTGGCATTCATGTGGACCCAGAACTTCAGTATCCGAAGGGAGCCGCAAGAGTGACATTTGGTACAGAAGAAGGCTTTCTGAAAGCAATGGAGGCCAAATTCATGCTGTTGCCACATGATGGCATAACGAAACGGGTAAGTTCCTCTCTCTCGCTGGTAACATGCGAGCATGCGAGTGGTTCTGAATGGCACGGGTTACTGNAGTATTGCCCTGTTCACCATGTTTTGGAGAAATTTACAGATTATAGAGGAAATGTGTGACAAAGGATAAATTTTTAGGTGGAAATAAAACCGTACATAATGGAGGATGGCGAATGTGATGAATGCGGAATGAGTCCAAGCTCAGGTTTTCATGGTGTTATGTATTGTGCTAACTTAGATTGTCTACAATACTACTGCAAGGCTTGTTGGAGCAGATTTCATGATGGCGATATGTCACTGATATCACATCGTCCTGTGTTTCGTCCTACTCGTGCTCACAGTAAGGTTGGACGATTTTTTTTTTGCTCATATGACACAGCTATCGTAGGAGGATCACTTTTTGTTAATTATATATGATCTGAATCGCAAATATTTGACAAGTTGAAAGGAAAAAGAATATAAGGGAGCATGAAAGTTCGCGATCTGAGAGCCTTACACATCGACGATATCTTTCTAGGATCAGCAGGATTCGTCGTCCGAGTTTTATTGTTGCCAGCAACTGCCATCCATCCATTACGAGCGTTGATTGAATGAGGTAAGAGTAAGCTAGAGATATCTTCTCATCCAGGTATAATCCTCTTGAGATGATTGATACCTTGAGATGATCATTCAAAATCTCG